TTCAAAGTCGGAGATCTCGAATAGTAGCGTGGCCAGCGATCAACCTAGACTGAGATGGCGACATCTTGCATGGCCATGGCCCGGGGACATATCTTTTAAAACTAACGTAACGTTCAGTTACTACAGTCATCATGCTGTGACACATGCCTGTATTACATGACTGTATCTGCAAGATGTGGGATGACGCATGCGGCCGCCCCACATGCACCTGTGCTATGCCTGCTCTGGACATGCATGAAAACCTTCCAGGCAACGCACACTATAATTATCATGGCTAAAAAGACTACTGCGTCTATTATTGGCTATACTAGTCTATGAGTGAATGGGGGTAAATAAACTCTGGTCCTGGATAGTCATGACTCGTGGGCCTTCCTCTAGGGGTGAAACGAACATCGAATTTTGAATACGAACGAACGGTCACACTAACGAACGAACTCGAACGAACATTCTCCATTATGCATTTCATGGATGAATTTTTTTGAAGACCATACAGTCGTCTGCCAGTACAGGCTGACAGGCGTTCTCTGTACTTGGCTGGCCACAGTTCAGTATTGACGGTGTACGATACACTGCCAGAACAGAAATATTTTTTTATCGCGTCCGCCTGAGCTGAATCACAGGGTTTTGCAGCTAGCTGCAAAGTCCATCACCATTGTCCGGACGAGAGTTTTCTTCTCATCGCTAGCTCAGGTCGTCAGAGCAGGAGAACGGCACTTCTTGAGGTGGGTACGAAGATTGCTCGTCGTCGCTCTGCTGTGTGATAGAACCTTTTTGAAATTGAGAAAAGGACTTCGTCTTTCCCAACCACTTTATCAAAGTCCGCTCCAACTCCGGATCGCGATGAAAGGCTCGAATGTTTTGACATGATTGCAACGAGTGAACGTTTGCTTTCGGGAACAGATGTCACAAGCGACTCAAATCCTTTCACTACGAGTACAAATCTAACTCAAACGGACACACAGAAATATTTCAAGAAACTTTGTCCCGACGCGACACTCAACTCCTTCAACTTGCTTCAAGTGATCATCAAGGCAAACTCAGTCGATCAGCGTGAAAGCTCGCGATCTCCCAACCTCCGCGGCTCCTTCGTGATCTAGTCACAAGCGATCTTTATGCTTGCTTGCTGTGTTCGTTTATCAATCTTGCGAGTTCGTTCGTTCGTTTTCAATTTTTTCGAACGAATATTCGAACTTTCGTTCGTTCCTTTCACCCCTACCTTCCTCGGGCTCCAAGTAAACTACGTGTAATGTCTTGGTCCAAGTCTCCAACCTTCATAGACTAGTGGGTGGCTGTTAAGCGCCTATTATGTCATGTACATGTCCCGTCACAGTACTGTACAATCATGTACAGTCATACTGAATGTGTTGTCATGCTGTACAGTCAGTAGCCTGCGGCCTCGGGGAGCATCAACAGCACATAATCCGGGGGGGGGGGGGGGGATACACTCGTGGCAACACAGAAAACAACGTCTTCAGGACTTCTCGACAGTTAACACGTATATCAAGTAGATGTCAGGCTGTAAGCCACAATCTGTGGTTGCGGTAGCAAGGTAGCAGGCAGATCAAAGTGAGAATAATTTAACAAGAACCTGACCTTTCTTGTCGACATTATGTAGAATAGAGTGAGCGAAGCAGCTTCAATTATAGTTCCGTTCCGGGAACGGGATGGAATAATTCTTTGGAAGCTTCAATGTACCAAGCAAGGCTTGCATAACGCCAAGACTCCACAGCACGGGGGCCATGGGTGCGTTTAGACGGTAATGGCAAGGTGTGTCTGGGAGACAGTGCGGGTTGATGGGGCGGTCCTCGTGCCGTGGAGGACAGTCTAGCTGATGACAAACGTGTCGACAGCCCATCGTCTGTGCCACCTCCAAACGCGAGATCGCTTTCAAGCTGGAGCACAGCCCTTACCAGCGGAATGTTTCGTCCCGGCAATGCCGGATCGTGTTTTCAATTTAAGCGTGGATCGTCAAGCCACGGAACATTTCCCACTGGGACTGAACTCCTGGCAGCGACCCACATTGCAGCAGGTCTTGGAACTGCCAGCAGTTGGGCTATATCAGTCGGTAGAACCCATAGTTCGGTCAGGCTTGATGCAGTGCATGGCCGGCAACCACACAAACGGGAGTCGACAGCTGCAAATTACAATGCACAGCCAGTGCCCGACACCTTACGGACTGAACAAGGATAGCGAGAACCGGAATGATCCGAATCTGATGATGATGAGTCAACAAGAGTCTATGATCAAGCGCAAAAGCAGAGGTCACGGAGACCTCCACCGAGCTTCTCGGCAGGATGCAGCTCAACAATTTAAAGGATGGTTTTCTCCTAAATTTCTAGGAAGGAGTATTTACTACTGAGGATGAGACATGGGTCCATCATTTTGATCCGGAGACTAGGCATATGCGGATAATGCCGGCAGAAAAATTGGCAGAATTCGGTACTTTTTCTGGTAAGTTTCATGCATGTTTGGTATGTGGATAAAGAAATGGAGCAGAATTCGAGGAATTCAGCCCGCCATAAGGTTTGTATGGTTCTGCCAATTTCACTGCTTTTCGAGCAGAATCTGCCACCTTTTCGAGCATTATCCGCCAATGCCTACCTGAGACCAAGCAACAGTCCATACAGTCACTGAGTGGCACTGGAAACAATAATTACATGCCAGTTCTCCCACCCCCAAGAAGTTCAAGGCAAGAGCCTCGGCTGGCAAGGTCATGATCTCTGTTTTCTGGAATAGCAAAGGTGCTATCATGCTGTATCAACTTGAGCCCGGGCACTACAACCAATGGACAATACTATGCCCACGGTCTGCATCCGCTGAGGGACGAGGTGAAGGCGAAGCGTCGAGGCAAGTTCCTAGGGAATCCTGCTTCTGTAGGGCAATGCTCCAGCGCACATTTCGCACGTTGCAGTGACTGCTGCAGCTAACTGTAGCCTTGAAATCCTTCCTCGTCCACCCTACCGAGTCTTCTGACCTGGTTCCCAAACCTCAAAGTTGAACTGAAACTGAGCCTCTGGGCCCTGGGGCCAGGGCAGTGGGGGTTACTGAGGACGGCAGTCTCAGTGGAACGATGATATCATGGCGGCAGTCGACCACTTCCTTGATGCCGGAGTAGGATGAGACCTTCTTCAAGGCTGGATTAGAGAAGTTGGAACATCGCTGCAGCAAATGCAGTGAGGCCCAGGGTGATTATGTTGAAAATTTCATTGAGAAACTGCTAGTATTATAAACAACAAGTATGACTCTCTGGCATGCAATTTTACTCATTGACATTTTAGTCAAAGTAAAAGTAACAGCTGAAGAGAGTGAAGTACCTGGCTGCATGTAGTCATGTTTGTACCTGGTCATGTGCTAGACTTGTGGAGTCAGTCAGTCTTTACTTTACTAGAGGATCGAGGTAATCGCAGGGCTCGTAAAATCAACCATCCTTGACTGGCGGTGATGCGATGGTCGATGTCATTGCACTGGTAATAATAGTGGTATTACTATAATAATTATTGTAGTCACTCAGATCAGAGTCAGTGTGTGATCGTGACATGCTACAGTGCCAGTGGTGTCGATCAAAGTCGCTCGACACCGACGACATGACTGTCGACATCTCCTGGCCTGACGAACCAGATAAGAGAAAGACAAAGCGTTTGTGGTATCCAGAGCCTAGGCCCTACTACGAACTGCACTAGCGCATAAGCACTCTTGCTTGTACATGTATTCACAAGTGTTTCACGACGTTATCGCTACAGTCAGTACTGACAAGAGTACTGTAAAAGCAGAAATTTTCGGTGGTGTAATATTTTCGGTATTCGCCAAAATCGGCGGTTCGGTAGCGGGAAATTTTCGGTAAAACCCGTTCTCCAGGTAGGTGTACTAGTACAACATGTATACAGTATCGGTTGTACCGAAAATTTCGGTGCGTTTTATTTTCGGTAAAAATTGTCGGCACCGAAGTAAGTTAGTTACCGAAAAAATTTTTTTTTTATTTTTTTACAGTCGATGCGCCAAGCCAGCTGAGTAAGAAAAAGAAAAAGGAAAAAAGGCCCAACCCTGCCCGGCCAGCTATTTGGACTTACGGGGGTCGCCATGGCAAATAATAAGTACTTCGAAGTAGTAAAAATGAGCTAGTGTGGCTGTGAAAACAGTCTATATGACAATATTCAGTCAGCCATAATCATGATAATGGATGCCTCCGCAGCGACCACAGCTGCAGATGACGCGACAGGAGCATGGGCAGAAAACATGGATCGGCTACCACGCACACACATTACACTGGCCCGTATTAGCGCTACGCTAAGACGACACCGGATGAACGCCATGGTGAGGGAGTAGGACTCACCGGTCTTCTCTGCAAGCAACACAGCAATTCTCTTGTACAGAGCTGACGCACACTTGCTCATGCCGCCAGTCGTAGAGAACACGGCCGGGACAAACGAGGCATGCTCTACATCACGCAAGCGCTGTTCGTACGAACGCTTCTTTGCCTTCTCATGGCGGGTGTAGGCTGCGGAGACGGAGGAGGAGCGATTTGAGGGCGCAAATGGGTTGAAAACCCTGACATCAATATATGTGCGTTCAAATCGTCCTCCCCATATCCCGTTAGCGGCCACGTCCAATCTGGCAGCATCGGCACGAATGGCAGTGCGAAGAGACAGCTGCTCACCCGACAGAGGCTCGAGGTGCGGCTCAACGGAGACATTGGTAGCTACTCTCTTCAGAAGGTTTTTTTTTTTTATGTACTCTTGGTACTACGCATAATGTATACGTCAACGTGAAGTGAAGTCAAGGCTCTATTAAAGCTTCACGTGAAAATACACGTCGATCATGCATGTAACGTTATAGGGAGTAGAAAAATACTACTCCCTGATCATCTAGCCTGAGTCATGAGGCTGATGATGACGATGTACACCATGTGCTGACGTGACTTCACTCGTAGATCTACTCTTCAGCTAGCAGCATGCGTGATCGTGACGCAGAGTTTGTCTTGCTGTTTGAGCCCGAGTTCAGAACAGTGAATCGGAGATGTTTCCACAAAATTATTTTTGTTCGTCAAAGAGAGTTCGAGTCGTCTTTGGGTGGCTGACAATGATCACCCTGCATTTTGGTCCCATGTGAAGTCGTCTCTTGCCTTGACGAGTCCGTTGCTGGCCAGGCGGGGAGACCGTGGACAACTCAATGCAGCTGGGCAGTGATAGAGAAGCGCGGATCGCCAATGCATTCGTCTCAGCTCCGGCCCTCAGCCCTACTGGGCCGGGTGGCTCATCACAGGCCGCCGACCTCAAGCAGTTCGTGCAGTTTCTGGACAGGAAAATGCTGACAGAGAATGCATGTATCGGGGGAGTTCCGCTGCTTCATTTCATGGCCGGTCATGCCCGTGACGACCTGGTTAGAGAGCTGCTTCGGCGGGGAGCGTCAGTGGCGACAACACAGCAGGGTCTGACACCACTGCATTTCGCCGTTAGTCGGGACCATACTCAGTGTCCACCGGGAGATCAGGAACGGCGAGTGAACATCATACGAGCCCTGGTCAAGGAGGCCAGATGCCAGGTCAACGCTCAGGAGCTACGGGGTTGGACAGCATTGAAATTTGCTGTCAGGTTTCGACTTAACCTGTGTGTGCAAGAACTAATAAATCATGGAGCGAACGCCGACTTGCAGGACCAGGAGGGATTTGCACCCCTACACAATGCAATCGGTGCCGTGCTGATACTGAGAACGCTACTGCCGCATGTACGGCACGTGGACTCACTGAACCATCGCAAGCAGACGGCACTGATCATCGCGCTCGTCAACCGAGACCTAGAGTCGGCCGAGCTCCTACTATCCGCCAATACTAACATGAACATTGTGGACATGGAAGGTGAATATGAAATAAACGTTGTGCACGCAGGCATGTACCTATCAGTGGCATTCGTGCGCTATGAAAACCAAGTACCCCCCACGTATGCGCACCACCTCACATACATGTGCTCCCCGCATGCACATTCAAACAGTACATGCATTAAGGTTCAAGTTCATGAAGGTGCGAAAATGGTCACATACAGTAGTACGTAACAAGCATTCAGTCCCTGAATGCCTTATCCAGGTACATATACATGCGAAGAAGTTGAAACGTCAAACATGTTTCATATTCCATAGCATATCACAGCAGTGCAAGATGCACCGCTGTGATACGCGTTGTCCTCCACGTTGCTCTGTATCAGTTACAGGGTCATACTACAGTTTTCGGCACTCAACGCTTTTTGATGTCACGTATGTACTGTCGTGGACATGGCAATCCGGTCGCACGTCTAGCGGCCCCAGGGCGCTGGCCATGCAGCCGTGGATAAGCGGCACACACATGCGCTTCAGCGCGCTGGTGGCAGTGGATCAACATGTGCACTGCACGCAGCGTTCTGTAAGCGCTGAGGCCGTGAGGGCGCTGCCCCCGGTCAATCGACTGGATTTCCATGTCCGCTACAGTACATGCATGGCGACTGCAGTGCGGTAGCTCGTAATCTCACGTAACGAGTATTGGTGCATTCCCTACCGATCTCCGTGTTTCCCTCGTGTAAAGTAGTAATTTGAACACAGTATCACGCAAATATTCCTTGCTGCACGATGCTGCATAGCGCAATTAAGTGCATGGCGTGACCAATTGCGCCGTGGGGGCCATGCCGCCAAGGTGCAGTGCGACTCCGGCTTTAGAGCAAGAATGATGCACACGGAAGCACTGCCAAATGGATATGAGTTCGCAGGAGTTACCGCCTGTCGAACGATCCTTGTGCCAGCAGGGTAAAGGGCACCATACCTCGGTCGGAGGTGTTATGCTGTCCTTCCTGGTGCACTTATAAGCATACTGGCATCCTCATACTTGTTTTCTTCTTCTTTTAAAGTTGATCAGTGATACACGCTGGTGCGTATTGGAGCAGCTGAATGGCAGAGCTGCGTGCATGCGTGCACGTCACGCAACCGCAGTACCCATACCGGTGCATGCACTGGATCACTGTTGGTGCTGCTGGTGTTGCCCTGCCTCCCGTATTTACTGTGCTTGGTAGATTGACAGTTCGCCTTGCTGCTCTATGTTGTGCGCAGGGAACACCCCGCTCATCCTGGCCACTCGCATCGGCAATCTGAAACTGGCACAGCTCATCATCAAGAAAGGCGCCAACGTGGGCTTTGTGTCACCGCTAACCGGCCGCCAAGCCCTGCACTACGCCACCGAGAGCAATCTCAACGACCTGGCGGCGTGGCTGGTGCGGCACGGCGCGGACATCTTGGCCGAGGACAGCCAAGGCCGCAACGCCCTGCACCTCTGCAGCCCGGCACTCTCTGTCAGCTTGAAAGGTATGCCGTGTCACTTCACATTTCCTGTTATTCTTGTCCTGACCAATTGCTACATGGTGTCATTTTTGTATCTTTGTGGATGCTATAAAATGCCTTCTTACCAGCAGTGTTCTCCGGAAATGCTGTGCTATTCTTTGCTTGTGTTGTGTGTGCATTTATGGCACTTTCTTCCTTGTTCTAGTCAACCTAGTGTGTAACAACAACTTGCGAATAACAGTAATAATTATCTTCAGACCTAGTACCATTTTACTCCATAGTTTCACCTCCGATGACCCACGAATAATGACGTGTATCTCATGTTCGATCAGGAGTCGTTATTTGCAAGGTTGGACTGAGGATGAATAAAACACGGGCATGAGAGTTAAGCGTGGCATGTGTGTATTAGCAACAAAAAAGGTGAGAATGAATAACAATAACAAATAAAAAGGTGACAAAACACATTTAGGCATGAATATGTTTTCTTTTTGCTGCATTTCTCGCAGAGAGTGCGGCAGCGGCAGCAGTGGCCGAGGGCAAGATTGGCTATGTGCAGCGGCTTGTCGAGCTTGGCCTGGATATCAACGCGGCAACGGGGGTGTCAGGCGCCCCGCTATTGCACCGAGCTGCGTACTGCGGTCATGTGAGTTCTATACCGCCGCGTATGTTGTATAAGGAATGTCTGGCAGCTGTGTGTGGTGAATCTTGCCGCTGTCGCACAGGAGAAAGGACGTGTGTGTGTGTGGGTGTGTACCGGTATGTGTGTGGGTGTTGGTGTATTCTTGTATGGGTGTGTGTGTGGAGGGGGGGGGGGGGGGGGGAGTGTATGTGTGAGTGGGTGGGTGCGCGCACGTGTGCGTGGGTGTGTGCGTGTGACTGTGGATGTACGTGTGTGTGTGTGTGTGTGTGCGCTTGTGTGTGTGCGCGTGTGTGTGTGTGCGCTTGTGTGTGTGTGGGTGTGTTTGTACCCAGAGTTTGGTGATTACAGAGGGTGTCGGTCGTTGAGCGGTTCAATAGCCAATTGAGTCATCTTTCCAAGATTCTTTTTGAGTCTCTCTCCCCTCTCCCAGGGAGACCACGTGACTAGTTTTGGCGGTGAGCAAAGATAGGAGAGTACAAGTGTGGGTGTGGCTGTGGGTCTGCGTGCTTACCTCAGCAAATGTACGGTGTGCACAGGTAGCTGTCTTGGCCGGCCTATTCTGATGTGCTCCGTGCGGTGTAGACTAGGTACTAATATGCATTTTGGGTCGATTCACATATGTGTATATGGGAGGGGAAGGGGGTTGTAGGACCCCGTCTTCACTGTATCGAGCTGACTTTTATGGTTGTACCTCTTCTCTTTTTTTGTATGCAACATGTGTTCTGTGTGCACAGTCGGACTTGGTCAACTACCTCCTGCAGAATGGAGCCTCGGTAGCGCTGGTCGACAATGAGGGCGACAGTGCCATTCACTATGTGTGCCTGAAGGACTTGGCTGAGCGGTATCACGCGCAGGCGCTGCACTTGCTGCTTGCCTACGGGGGCGATGCCAGCCTGCCGAACAAGAAAGGCGACACGCCGCTTCACATCGCTGCCAGGTGAGCGAGCGCCTTTGCTCGTGTACGGGCCCTCCCGTGCATATGCCAGGAGCGTCTTTGCTCTTGTAGGAGTGCTCCTATGCATATGCCAGCACAAAAACGCTGTTTCTGCCAAGTGTAGGTCTTCAGGGTGTAGCCAAGGTGCACCGAAGCAGGTTACCAAGACGAAATCGTGTGCAGGAAACCATTTTGGAAGATGTTTTCATTTTCATACTCCTCTGTAACTGTGTTTAGCCGGTTGTAGCATTGCTCGGTGTTGTGTTGTTGAAGGGTGTTGTGTTGTAGAAGGGATTTGAGTACCCTTGCTTTCTGAGTCATCTCTCGTTCATGTTTGTTATTGCAAAGGCCGAGTTGTGTGGATAGCCGACCATGCTGTAAGTTTTATTGTGTTCTGCTTTTGGGGCATTTGTCCGTGCAGGCAAGGCTTCAACCACCGTGTCCACATGCTGCTGGAGAATGGTGCGGATCGCTCTGCGGTGAACAAGCGCGGCGAGCTGCCTCTGCACCGAGCTTGTGGCAATCCCGATGCACACATGGTATGCTTGTGATCTGCAACACACCTTACATGCATGCTCTGCTATGCAGTGTTGTACGCTTGTCTGTTCTTGGCCTCTCGTCTCTTTCCTGCTCTCCGCTCATGTTTCTTTCCTCTTCTCTCTCTCTATCTCTCTCTTTCTCTCTCTCTCTCTCTCTCTCTCTCTCTCTCTCTCTCTCTCTCTCTCTCTCTCTCTCTCTCTCTCTCTCTGCCTCTCCCTCTCTGCCTCTCTCTCTCTGTCTGTCTGTCTGTCTCTCTGCCTCTCTCTCTACTCTTAGTGGTCGTAGTTCATTTCGGAGTGGTTGGGTAGGGGGTCCGAGTACGAAGTGAACGATGTGCGTTTCAGGAACGACAAAACACTTTTGTGACAACCTCAATTACCTCTCACTTACAGCCCTGATAAATTTTGTTATACCGAATGCAGAGATATCTTTCCTTTCCTAATAATATTATGAGCTTTAATACTGGATTTCTTTCCTGGCATTGTGCGTGTGTGTGTGTGTGTGTGTGTGTGTATGTATGTGTCTGTGTATGTGTGTGTGTGTGTGTGTGTGTATGTGTATGTGTGTGTGTGTGTGTGTGTGTGTGTGTGTGTGTGTGTGTGTGTGTGTGTGTGTGTGTGTGTGTGTGTGTGTGTGTGTGTGTCCACCTCTTCCTCTTGTCCCCCACAGACAGTGTGCATGTTGCTCGATGGCGTGCCCAAGTCGGTCGTAAACCGGGCGACTGAAGAAGGCTGGACCCCACTCATGTATGCAGCGAAAGCAGGTGCGATTGAGATCGCCAGCTTTCTTGTCGAACAGCAAGCAGATGTTAATGTCCGGCAGGTAATAGTTAGCTGATGAACTCGTATACTGTTGCACCAACAACATGCAGGCTTTGTGACTGTGTTGTGCGATAGCCAGCAATCCTCCCCTGCATCTATAATAAAAAGGGGCAATATGCAGTGCAGCATTTTTTGCCTCTGAAATAACACAATGACACCATGACGCAATGTTTGTGAAACTGCTCAGAATATGTCGTATACCGGCAACATTAAAATATGCACTCACATTTAAAACAGTAAATGGACAATCCATTTCAGGCGTTTTCTTCTGAAATGGCCTATTGGTGCCATCACTTGGGCAGTGTAAGGACAGGTTGTGTGGAGAAAGTGAGCAAAGGCCATAAATTATCACTGGCCAGAAGAAAAGAAAAACGCTTTAAAAGCTGTCCCAGCACAATTCTATTCTACTGTAGCACGGTGACTTTAGACTTGGCGATGGGCATCAAAGGTGTATGTGTGTGTGTGCGTGTGTGCATGTTTGTATGTATGTATGTTCCTCAGCGTGCCGGTTTCACGGCGCTGCACTTTGCCGTCCAGTGCACCAAGACGAACGTCCGTCTGGAGCTGTGTGACCTGCTGCTACAGCACAGCGCCTGCCCGAACGCACCGGCCGGCAGTAGCATGCTGACACCGTTGCATTGGGCCTGTGCCAACGCACTCAGTGACGTCTGTAAGCTGCTACTCGGTGAGTTCTCTCATGTGCTGCTAGTGGTGGCGAGGACGTGCTTCCCCACCATTGTAGCAACTGCAATTACATAGTACTTTTTAAACAGTGATGCTGGGCCAGGCCCAAAAATTTGGTGAAACATAATTGATGTTTTGATTCGCAATCGAGAGACCATTACTGTAGTGTTGGAGTGAGGCTTCTTAGATGTGTAATCTATGATACAGTCAAACCTGTTTAGGTTGTCACCAAGGGACCAAAAGAACTTGTTCGCCGTACTGGTAGTTCTTATCCGTGCCTTATTAACATTAACACGCACAGGGGTGCGAGTAACATACGTATGCAAACAACAAATGCAGGGCTGGTACTAATACTGAAATACATGTACTGCATGCAATTCTTCTGCTGTGAAAGTTTGTCTTGTCAGTGTCTTGTTCATCGCTATTCCGCTCCACTGCACAGTGTGACTTGTTGCCGTTGGACTAATCTGCAATGCTTGCTATCTTTGTCCAGAGCACGGTGCCGATCCACATCAGAAAGACATGGAAGGTGACACGTCCCTGGCACTCATTCCTGACAGTTCCAGCAAGCTCCGTGAGGCATTAGAAGGTATGCTTGGCCATTTTATTTATTATTTATTTATTTTTTATGAAAGTGCACATGCCTACTGTATTTTTCCGGTTGTAAGTCGACCTTTTACGACTAAAAATAGAAGGAGAATGGGTGGGGGTCGACTTACAACCGGGATTTGACTTATAACCGGGAACTATCAGTATCTTACAAAAAACGACCTGCACTGCATGCACGAGTGCACCATCTGTACACATTTTTGCCAGTTTATTGGCCTTTTTTCAAGGATTGGGGCGTTATACCCTCCACAAAGGAATGTTTACATGATTTGTTGTTGTGTTAGTAGAAGGGAGTGGTTAGTAGTGCTTCGTTGGGTGAAAACTTTAAAACGCAGAATTAAGACCTCCGGATACGGGGTCGACTTACAACCGGTAAAATACGGTACATAGAATGGAAGAGAACAACAACAACATCAAGAGAACATAGGGGACTACAAAGGGCATGTAGGTGCTATTGAGCTGTGCCGGTGAGGTGAAGTGCTCTTATCTCCCCCGACCAATGGTCTCGGGATCAAGGCGCACATCACGCACCATGGAGCAAAGGGAGAGAAGAAAGACTGTGTGTGAAGAGTGAGAACCTGAGAGCCAGACAATGATGGAGAGAGAGAGAGAGAGAGAGAGAGAGAGAGAGAGAGAGAGAGAGAGAGAGAGAGAGAGAGAGAGAGAGAGAGAGAGAGAGAGAGAGAGAGAGGGGAAGAGATGGGGGGTGAGGGAGGGAGGGTGAGTGAGTGAGTGCCAGATTAGTTCAGGAAACTATGGCAATGGACCAACAGCTGCGTTGCTTTCGGGGGGGGGGGGGGGGGGCAATACGGAAAAGTTAGATCGGAGCTGCTGCCAGGCAGAGTAGTGTGCAGGCACTGGATCAGCGAGAAAGGGGCCACGAAAAGCAGCAAAAAGGAAAGAAGAGAAGAAAGAAACTTTTACGCAAAACATTCTGCACTGAGGTGTGTCGAGAGCTCTAGGGAGCAAGGTACAGTTCAGTGGGGTGAAGACACGGTGATGTGATTGTTGTGGGACTGGAGAATGGAACATCGTTAAATTTAGCCATGGAATGCTGTCGCCCACAACCAATCCTGGCGCATCAGGTGCTGACAAATGCGAGACTTGAAGGCCTGCATTCCCTTCGATGCAGGAGGTTCCGGAATGGCTTGCTCAGGAGTGTCGTTCCATGCCGCAATGAGGGTATAAGGGAATGACCTCAGTAGGTAGTTCGGTGCTGTCCGAGCAAGTGGCCATTGCAACTGGAAAGGGTGGCGAGAAGCTAGTTGTCGGCGGGTTCTAGGAGTAGGTGCTGGCGCCGACAGTGGCGGGAGGAGGGCTGTCAGCTGGGGTGTAACCTTAATGTAGTGTAACTTGTACACATATGCAAGCCCTGAGACTGCCCTCCTGAGCTGCAGGCTCTGAAGGATCGTGCCAGGTCCGATGATTCGCATTGCCTTCTCCTGCACCCTGTCATAGCGTGCTAGGTGGGATTGGGCTGCACACATGGTGGCTAGGGGAGCGTACTCCAGGATGGGCCAAATGAACCCCTAATACACGACAAGGCGGCCCTCATGACCCAGAAGCCAAGCAGCACGGCACAAGAATCCCAGGCGCTGGCTGGCCTTGACAGCGGCAGCATGGATATGGCACTGGAACCCAAGCTTAGAGTCGAATGTGACATTCTTTGCATCCCAGGAGCTTCTAGCTTTGGATTGGAGTCTGTGTATTCACCTTAGTAAATTGAAACGAGAGCTCTGCAACACTGAATTGGTGAAGTTCGTTACATGCTGCGTCTTGATTGTTGTGCAGAAATGGCACTAGCGACTGCAAACTATAACCTTGCTGTGTATCGTTTCATGACACAAAATTCATGTTGTATCTTGCCTGAGGTTGCGTTTGGTTGGGCATTTTCAGAATGTAAATGACAACCATTCTGGAATGGGAATCGGCAAGAATCGCCTGACCAAACTAACGCGCCAGAATCAATTAGGAATCACTTGATATAACAATTCCATGATGTCTTTGTGGAACGGCGGCTGTCTTTTCTTTTACCCGGTTCTAGTTTCCTTGAGAGAGTCATGGTACTTCTGAGTGCATGATTTGAGGCACTTGAACCTGTTGCTACATTGTTTGGCTCGTGGCAGCCATTATCATTTTTGATTCCGGAATGAGAATGCTCATTCCAGCATGTGAGGTGGAATGATCATTCTCCAAAAAGAATCATTCTCAGCGATTCCCATTCTGGAATCATGTGGAATGTGACCAACCTAACGCACTTTTTTGACCAACCAAACGGGCGAGAATGATTCCAAGTGATTCCCATTTGGGAATGTGACCAGCCAAACGTAACCTGAGTGTTGTGTTCTGCTGCGTCTTGATTGTTGCGCAGAAATGGCATTAGCGACTGCTCCGGTCCCGCAGCGTCAATCCTCCTTGCCCTCCCTGCCCACGCACCGGGAGGAGCAGCGGCCCGACATGGCCACGCAGCTGTCCTACGACGGCTCGGCGTCGCCGTCGGCGTCCATCGTCTCCTCGGCCAGCCAGGCGTCGATCACCACGCCGTCGCGCGCACCCATTCCGATGCCACGTCGCCGCAAGAAGACCAACTCGGACAGTCACCTGCACGCGTCCGTTTCCGAATCGCTCAGCCCTAATCAGGTGGGTGACGGTAGCAGCGGCAATCTGAGCAAGGGCGAGATGTTCATGCCGAACTCCGGCATCAGCAGAAACGCAACGTCCGTGTCCAGCCTTTCGTCCAGTGGCACATCCATGTCGCCGGGAGCCGTGGAGCCACAACGGCAATCGGCGGCGGCGAGAGAGAAGGCAGCAGAGGCGGCACGGGAAGAAAAGGCGCGGGAGGCCGCCGAGGAGGAACGGGAGAATTCAGTCGACGAGGTGGATGGACATCTCCCAGCGGATGTGTCCGTGCCGGAAGAAATCGATGGCACAGACCTGCCAGCGCTGGCACTGGCACCGTCTCCATCGCATGGTCAGTGCCACTTCTGCATATACTGGCTTATTGGCCAATTTTCAAGTCTCGTACGTGTGTGCGTGTGTGTGTGTGTGTGTGTGTGTTTGTCACCGTTGCCGTGTGTGTGTGTGTGTATGTGTGTTTGTCACCATTGCCATGTGTGTTCTATCTGTGCTCTCATATCCCATTGTGCATGCTGCCGTTATTCTGCCTGGTTAAATAACTGGTATGACTTGTGTGCTTATGCTCCTAGCAGCCCCTGAACACGGATACGAGTAGAGGCCCAGGAAATGTTCCCCGTGCTGGAATAATTTTGTGTTTAGCGGAAATTTGTCCAATGCGAGACATATTCCGGTCTGAATTTCTTTTTTGTTCATGCAAATTCCGTCGGGTTTTCAGTGGCTTCCTGGCCCATAGTGCCTGTACAGTCATGGTTGTTTATTCTGGTGGTATTGTCGTTCTGTAAATTTCAGACCAGGCGTTCAAGCCCGAGAAGCAGCGATCCTTTGGCAACCTGCACCAGGTGAATGACTCCAAGCCTGGCTTGGAGGAGTCACTCTACCTCTCTCAGTCCATGCAGGAAAACGACACGGCGCGTGCACCCACACCGACGAGCGACGAGCAGCTTGAAATGCTGTGCTTGTCGGCGGCCGACTTGCCTGTAAGCACAGCTTGATGTCATTGTGTCTTGTACTTGCTTGCATATTCAGTGAAGTGATCATTTGTCGCTGTTTGTGCAACAGAACCATCTGATTTATGAGCGAAGTTGCCGAATAAACAAATCAGATTTACAGTATTGCATGAATGATGAATTCCATGGAAGCTAAGCATGGTGTGTCAATAGTTCTGACATACCTAGTGCCAGAAAAGAGAGGTGCCCATGCATTGTTATTTCCATCCACGGATACTAGTATGTCGCTGCGGATGTGTCGTCTTGCAATATACCTCACTACAGTGCATTTCAAAACTATAAACGCGTAGGGTTTTTGAAATATTTCAAATTTGGCTGGAACTTTTTGAGAATAGTTTTCGGAATATTGCTCAGGATCGCTCCACAATTACTCTCATATAGTTTCTAAAGGATTGGATAACAGACGCCCAATTTGGAAAAATTTATGCACAAAGTGATCACAGATTTTATGTGGTATAGATGCTGGCATAACGGTTTTTGCCTAGGTACGCGTCTATAGTTTTGAAATGGACTGTAGTATGCACACTGTACAGATCTACGAAGTTCTGTACTAGGACTGTAGGTGTGTACAGACCCGGTTGGGTGTTCGTTGTGCGCTGACCAATTTTTAGCCTCATAATTCATTTAACTAATGACTAGCTAGATCTTTGTCAGAAAAAAGTTTTCGTATGAAATGCCTTCAGGGCCCATTTCTTAGTGGAAATAGTAGTAAACACAATAGGGTCCTGCACATTCAACACACAACCGGGTCTACGGGATTCTACGAGATTCTATGGGATTTCGTGCATCTGTACAGCGTGCATAAGGCTTATGTAGTGCCAGTACTACTGGCCCAGTAGTCAACTAGAAATCGACCTTGAAGTGATTTTTTCCGTGTCGTGGACCATGCTGTGTGTGCGTTTGTGTGTGTGTGTGTGTGTGTGTGTGTGTGTGTTTTGTCCGTTGCAGCAAGAGACATCGCTCGGGTCTGGTGCTTACTCAGATGTCTATCAGAGTACGCACAACAATGAGAAGGTGGCAGTCAAGCTGTTCAAGAACCTCTCGATGGATGAGGTTGTGGATGTTTTCGACAAAGAAGTGCGGTTACTCAGGTAGGTTCGTTAAACTACTGTTGGTGAATACTGAATAGTCAGTATTTGACATGGTTAGCATTTTACCGTTCACGCTAAATCCAACGGTACTCGTACCCAGCACCCAAAACACCGTCAGTTTGGTATCGTTTCGACGATAGAAAGCTCTGTTTAGCGGGAGAACGAAACGGTAAGATACCAACTAGGGTGACGTCACAAGTCGATCGTTGTGTCAGAAACCGAAAATGCTAACCGTGTCTTGAAAACGCACAAAAAAACGGTAGAGGCCAACGGTCGAAGTTGCGTGAACTGTAAAATGCTAACCATGTCTAATGTACCTCTGCAGTTATTCCTTATCTTGGTCACATGTCACTTGCATTATCATTTGACTTGAAAAATACCAAGCCAACATCATCAAAGCGGACCCTTCTGTGCTGATGTGCCTGACAGTATCTCGTGGTTTCTAGCTTTCCTTTCTCAAGGGTCTCGTCATTTCTTGCTGACTGCACGTAAGGCTTGCACGAACTTCTGTGTGTTGCTCTGCTGTTGGCTGGCTGCTGTGACTGCTCTGTTCAACAAAGGCTTTGTCAAGCTCTGCCTGCTGTCCGCACAATACAGTGGCTTGTTTCCGCAGTGTGTGTGATCATGTTTGTGTTGTTTGCTATTGTGTGTGTGTGCAGTCGTCTCAAGCACCCTAATGTGCTTCGCTTCATCGGCTACGTGACCGAGCCAGGCTTCTATGCCATCGTCACTGACCTGCTCGAACGTGGCAGTCTGTACGAGATACTGCACAATCGGAGTATTGACCTCGGGTGGACGAAGCGACTCAAAATGGTATGGCCGATTAGATTTCACTGACCTCTGTGACGAGCCAACTACCTTTCTTATTGTATTGAATACGGGGAATATGTCTTGTGCTGTCATAAAGTACTTCTTCCCGGAAGGTACATGTATTACATGTTACGGTCTTAGCAGGGATGACAGCTCAAACTCTGTAGATTTGCTTTGCTTGTACAGTTGTTCCAATTAGGGAGTATGTGTGTGTGTGTGTTTGTGCGTGCGCGCATGTGTGTGCATGCGTACGTCTGTGTCTGCTTGTTTGTGCACAATGTAGATGTTGGATGCAGCACTGGGCATGGAATACTTGCATTCCTGTCGTATGCTGCACAGAGATCTCAAATCCATGAACTTACTGGTAAGTTGACCAAGCATGTCTTGCTCACCTCTGGTACATGTATAAGTCTCTAGTATTAGTGAAGGCATTCAGATTTCAGCCCAGATATACATGTAAAGTGGTGCAAACAGGCCCTGTCAATGATTGAAATGGTTCTTACAATTTGCTTCTTGAGGCTTTCTGTTGGTTTCCTTGCATGTTTGTTCAAAGAAAAGGGTGAGGTGGCACATCCTCCTGCAGTTCATCAGGTTAACCCTTTATTTACCAGCCATCATGTATGTAAGGGGCTATCGTAGCCAAAGAAGCAACCATTGCATGAAATCTAGATAACTTTTGTATAATGCAAGTTGTGTTTTACTGACTCCATATGTATCACTGCACCCAGGTAAGCACGGATATTGGTACAGTATGCAGTAGTTTATAAAGGCCATAGGTGGAATACACCAAAAATACGCGCTAATTGTGCATATTTCTGACCAATCAGGATATTACAAACAAATAGGATGAAAATTAGTTTCTGCTCATATGTGGGAACATAGGGACAAAATAACCTCACAAGCGTTGTCTCAGTGCATGAAGAGCAACAACATGCCAGGGATATGGCCATATTGTCACATATTTGAGGTAAAACAATTGCTTCGAAATTTCAAATTTTGAATTATTGTGTCAGATTCGAAATCAGTATATTTCTTCATCTACTCACATCCAGCGTAAGGTAAGTGAAAGAGAAGACAAGAAGCAGTCGTTGGCTGGTGAATTACGCCTGGCTTGACAATTTTAGCCCATCGCTGCCCTCCCTCTCGCTCCTGTTTTGAGAGCGAATACTGCGATGGGATCAGCGATACAAATTTTCAATTTTGAGTCGCATTCCGCGATGATATCGCCACAGACGATCTCTCCAACCGTCCACTACATCTAGAACACGTCGACATTGCCTGGAACAAGCTACATCTTCGCTACAAGCAACAAATCTGAGCGAGAACACGATCGAAATAGCGAAAATTGTTTGCGCTGAAAAGCATACTTTTGAACGCGTTCGTTCTCCATACTTTACTGGCAACCTCATGCGCGAGTCGATCGGAGCTACGGCGGCGGGGAACGGCGCGCTTGATTGAAGTGAAGCGAGAGATAGGGCTGGTACCTAAAGGGTTAAATATATCATATCAAGTTCTATTTATAGAGTTGCCCGGTTAGCTCAGTTGGTAGAGCATCAGACTTTTAATCTGAGGGTCAAGGGTTCGAGTCCCTTATTGGGCGTCCATATTTTTTCTTTCTTTTTTCTGTGTTTGAATCATGATCCAGATTGACTCTTGTTGTTAGCCTTCCATAGATTGTGCAGTTTGGTTCCCTTTGGGGTTTTTTCCCTTTTTTTCTCTAGGTCAGCGCAGACTGGGTTGTCAAAGTTGCAGACTTTGTAAGTAATTAGTTGTGTTGCTTCCCTCAGTATAATGAGATTCGGGCTTCACCGGGTTGCATAGGTTTTTTTGCGAGTGTCGATTGAATTTGGAGTCACGCCATGTGTTTGGGAAACTAGATCTTGTGTGCCGTAGAACTGGGGGCTCAGAGCCTACTTCAAGTACGTCATTCTTAGTTTTCATGTGGAAATCTCTATTACCGTACTGGCAATATATATGGTCGCAGTGAGGCCATGAAGCGTTACATTGGCACATGTTTACCGCACGCAGGGCGTTACATGCAAAGTCGCACAGGAGCCGTTACACAGGTTTCTATATTGCCGCAGTCCTTTTTTTGCTATTGCAGGACTTCCTGCTGCGTCCAGTTTTGAACTTTTCACCACGCGGTACACGTGCTTTCACAGTTTTCAGCCTTTTTTGCAATGAAAAGATCGCCGCACCCCCCGGGCGCGCGTTACGAACGCAAAGAAAATTTGTCGCACTAGCCTGGTTGCGCGTTACGCCGCACCCCCCTGCGTTACGCGTTACGCGGCAACATATATTGCCAGTACGGTATACTTGAGCCACCGTATGCATCCAGGTACATGTATCCTGCACCTGGTAAAGTCCTAGCCCGTTTGTTCTTCGGCGCCTGACAGCACTGTATGTTCTATGTTTTGTACAATCGTGGTGCTGTGTTCTGTGCTCTCTATGTATGCTGTGTGCAGGGTCTGACCAAGGTGCGCATGCACACACAGACCATGGCGAGCTCGCTGAAAGGCACACCAGCGGTAAGTATTCACCCACTTTTCCTCCGCTGTGCGTCGTTCTCATCTATTCTATGAATTTAAATCCATCTAGCCATTGATTAGCACAGACTCATGATGTTCTCTAAACCCATGAAATTAATAACAAAGTGCTAATTCTAACAGGTTAACACGGGGAGATCTGGAGTTAAAATAGAATAAAACGTTGACACAGATCGACTCTAGTGGTTTTCTCTCTCTCCGAGTCTGGTGTTTAGTGGGTTGAGTAATGTTCTTTTGCAGAAGTCTGTAGACCCTCTCGAACATGGACACATGAGAACCAGACATTATGATTGTAGAGGAATGTCCTGATGCGTGCGAGGAGTCACCAGCCCATACTTAGGCAGGTGATGCTGAAAAGGTGGTGTCTGGCGGCATCCATCCTTTTTAAGTGCCCACTACTAGATGTTCTACTGTGTTTCCTACATGTCGCTGTTGCTTGGCCATTTGTCAATGCTGCATCTGGGTCTGTGTCTCATTGTGCTGCAGTACATGGCCCCGGAGCTACTGGATAGCAAGCCGATTTCTGAAGCGACAGATGTCTATGCCTTTGGTATGTACGGCGCTATGACCTCTGTGTATGTAGCTATGACCTCTGTGTATGTAGCTATTAGGCCGAGTAAAAAAAATTACTAGATGATCGTCCTTTTTTTTGGAAAAATCGGGGAGGGCGGGAGGATTTTATTTTTATTTTTTTACTTTTTACCCTCTCATGCACACAGTGTACACAACAACATCAAGGTTTTTTTTCTCTTTTTTTCTTTTTTTTTCTTTTTTTCTTTTTCTTTCTTCAGCAGATCGATACTGACGTTGTGATATACTAGTAGTATGTGGTCCATATAGTAAAGAAAGTATTAAACAAAGCGTGCACATGTTTCCTGCATCCGCGATCGGTAAAAAACCAACGATTTCGGCAAAAACTCACGATTTAAAAAATAAAATATTTCTTGGGGCGCTGACAAAAACTGGGGCGGACGGGGACGATCATCTAGCTTTTTTTTTTACTTGGCCTTACCTCTGTGTATGTAGCTATGACCTCTGTGTATGTAGCTATTACTATGAAAATAATGTTATTATATAAAGCACCCTGGATATCACAAACCTAGAGTACTTTTGTGTAGTGCATAGCTTGTATAACCTAACATTTCTGGTGTTGTGTGTGTGTCTGTGTGTCTGTGTGTGTGTCTGTGTGTGTGTCTGTGTGTGTGTGTGTCTGTGTCTGCGTGTCCATGTGCATGTGCATTTTGCCCATATGCTGTCCTGCAGGCATCATAATCTATGAAGTGGCCACACGGAAGCGTCCGTATCACGAACACACCCTGAACCCCATCCAGTTGATGATGATGGTCCTGAAGGGCACTCGGCCTACACTGGAGCTAAGTAATGACATACCGGAGGGAGTTGTGGAGCTGGCGAAGCGGTGCTGGACCGCTGACTTCCGACAGCGGCCACCCTTTCGTGAGATCTGCGAGTGGCTCCAGGCGTTGAACGCGTGTGTCGATGACAACTGAGCGCTGCCATGATCCATTCTGGACACAGTGAGTCACCTGGCAGCATCACCTTCCAGAAAACTACAGCTAGTCTCTCTAGGACCACTGCCCTAGTGCAAACCTTGCCGAATTCTTTATTCAACGAACTGGTAACATGTGCCTTGCGCCTAATAGTACATTTTCCCGTGGAGACGTGCAACGGTGTACGCCGTCGGCACTGAGTCGTCCTTTTGAACTGTCCATGAAACACGTGACAACACCTCTTTCTCTCTCTCTCTCTCTCTCTCTCTCTCTCTCTCTCTCTCTCTCTTTCTCTCTGTCTCATTTTTCTATCTATATCCGTCTCTCTCTCTCCTTGCTGTTTGTCCTCTCATCTGCACTGCCGAGCTATTGCTACACTTGCACTGCTCCGATCTTCACTCCAGTCTTGTGACGAGCATGCTTGGCTGTCACTCATCTAGCGGGAAACCTCTGCACCCATGCTAGTTCTGCTGTCAATATGTATAAATACTTTCTTCAAAAAATTCGTCCTAGGGAATCACTATCAAAAGAAAGCACTGAAAGCCCCGATTCACCACCTTCCCTCTTTCCGTACTCTTTGGCGATTGCTCCGCTTGACCTGATGATTTTTTTAGATTCTATCCTTTTTCTTATCGGCGCCGTGACAAACGTTAATGCCCCTCTCATCTTCTGCTACTTGCACGTATGGTTTTTGGTTATTCTTCTGCTATTGTGTCACACCTGTACATAAAGTGGTTTTTATTCTAAGTATTATTACGGATGCCAAGGTGTGTGGTCGCCCGGCTCCACCGAGAATCCCTAACCCCCCTCTGTATTTGAACTCTTGCCCTCTCCACTCAGTGGTGCTGTTGACACATGTCTGTATTGAGGTGCTTTTTACCACTCCTGCTCTGTCTCGACCATAGTAGGATGCCTATCTCTATGTTTTTAACAGTTTCTTTTTTTTTTTTATGGTTCCGCTTTGCGGTAGAATTGCGTACGAGAGGGATTCTTTCCTTCTTCTTTTTTCTACCGGTAACTCTACAACCACCCTGTGCATCTCTGTGTGTGTGTGTGCGTGCGTGCGTGCGTGCGTGCGTGTGTGTGTGTGTGTGTGTGTGTTCATCAGCCTTGCAAGCTGTTGAATGGTGTAATCCCAGCACAAGTTGCTATGTCTAACATAGCTGTTCGCTATCATCGCTTCCCCGATGGGCAAGTCTGAGGGGGTCTGAGGTGTGTGTGTGTGTGTGCGTGTGTGCATGCGAGTGAAATCAACAGCTACTCCACGGGCACCTGGAATGGGCAACCCAGAAGCAAGGGAAATTAACATTGCTTCACATCCCAATGATACCACTCACCCAGGCGTGTCGTCTACTTACACACTGTAGCTGGTATGACTACCTGCTGCTGAGAAACAAGATCTCCCATTGCTGGAATCCGTCCTGTGAGCCGCACAATACACATTGATAATAGACAGCTGTTTTCGAGAAAGCTTCTACATGCACGAATACTCGTGCTGTGTGTACAATAAGCCCATTGTGCATTGCCAAATATGGAAGGTATGAGCAGTGCATGTGAGCACGCTGGGATCAGCAATGCACTGTAAGTAAGGGCGCGTTCAGACCACCGATACCGTGAATCTCGTCAAACCGTGAATGCCGATAAACCGTGAAGGACATTCACACTACCGATAACAAACTAACGTTACCGTGAAGTTTTCAGCTCTCACCGCGGCACGGACAAGGGATTTCCCCTTTTTTCCCAGCGCGCATGCAGCCTGAGCACTTTTTTACTGCCGGAAAATGTTTACTGTCGCAGCAGCTGCGGCAGTAAAACTTTTCCACCGGTAACGTGCCAGTAACGTCACGTGATCAAATCACCTTGGCGACTTTCCCATTCCGTCACTTTTTATCGGTAGTCTGAACGCGCCCTAACTGTTCAACACCCCAGACGACCATGCCCATGACCAGGAGGCTGTGTGCAGTGTTTATGGTACAGATTACGTCATTGCGCAATGGGCTTATGTATGTTGCTGTATCGTCCCCCAGCGTACCACACTCGTAACACTACTCTACTCACATAAACACACACGCACACACACCGACACTGCTGGAGCTATTAAGCAGTGCCCGTGCACGCAACACAAACAGCCAATCAGTGGCTTGATAGAATCATTGATCTGCAATTGATGCGAAAAGAAAGGCTGTTGACACAATCGATTGTTGAAAACAAACTGTAGGTAATGGGCCGTTATAGTATGGAAAGATCAAAACGAGGTTGGGAAGTATGCAAGTTAATTACTGTGGCAAGGAGAGATGCACTCGCCACATTTTTTTCTCTAGGGCACACACACATAATTGTCACAAACTTGGGAAGCCGGGAAATAGAACTGATTAACATGAGCAGATGTCCACAACAACGCCGCAAACAGCTCGCTGGTAAGCATATGATTTCGGTTGACAAAATGCAACAAACACAAGGCGATGTCGTTCCTAGTTGGCTGGTGATCAGCTGTGATTAAATAGTACACCATAGCGCGGGTGACGTGCTCATGCCCTTGCTAGCTACATAACCCATGTGCAGCTAGTCGCGTGAATCAATGAGTGTCTTGACACTGCGGCACGGGCGGTTAAGCTTGTTTAAATCGATTTGCACCACACCACGGTTGCACCAATCGCCTTCGTGCGCCTTTGACAGCTACCAACCGCAGCAGCAGCAAGAATACTGTCCTCGCTCTCCGCTGTGCTCGCACCCTTGCTTCGGTGCAGTAGCGGCAGGATGTGGAACTAGTGTCTTCTGCATGGTATGTGTGACATGACTTGTATCAACGCTCCAGTACAGTCACAAACACGAACTGAAGCCTACACCCTCTGTACATGATGACTACATCATCCGGAAAGCGGTGAGGAAGTGTTCCAGTATTGTGTCCTTGACCGCTGAGAATATGCGGCGAATGTTCTCCGTGTCTGTCGCTGTTGTCCGGTGACAGTAGACTAGTGGCTCCTCGGCCAGTATTTTGGCCGATTGGTTGCGTTTCTGCTGAAGCTGCTCGCGCTCCATGGGAACGCCCATCATGAACATGCGTTCAATGTACTTGTAGGCAGCATCGGCATTCCGGGAAGGTCCTGCGTAGTCAGGATAATACTCTCGGAGCTTGTAGTTGCGAATTCGCTCCTCGAACACGTCGTTCTTGTTGAGGAAGAGAATGAAAGAAGCAGTCGACAGGTATTTGGAGCGCATCACCTTGGCCATTAGCTGCTGGCTCTCCATCAGAGCGTTGTACTTCTTGCCGTCTTCATCGGCGTACACGTGCGTGTACTCGCTGAGCGCTGCCAGGAAGATCACGCTCGTGACGCCCTCGAAGCAGCTAAGCCACTTGCGGCGCTCCGTTTCCTGGCCGCCGACGTCGACGATCTTGTAGGTAAGATCGTCGAGGAGGAAGTCGTACTCGAGTACGCTGGTAGTCGGACTGCGCATGTGCACAACGTCCATGTCCGTCGGCACATAGCTGCCGTCGGCCAAGCGATGGACATTGTCCAGGAAGTAACTGCAGCAGTCCATTATCTCAAACTCGCTGCGTCGCGAGTAGCACACCTGAATGCCGCCGTCCTTCCAAAGCTCCTGAATCCACTCAGACACGCCAACAAACTCGTCCGCGTGCGCAAAGCGCTCTGCTTTAATATTGGCCACATATCCAGCGCACTGTTTACTGTACTCCTTCTCAAACACGATGTTCAATTGCGTCATGGCAGCAATGAGTGTCTGCATACACGTGACTACATTATCGTAAATGATCACTCGGATAAATCGCCGCTCCTCATCACTGAAGCCATTCCCATGGATGATACGCATCTGCCGCACAAATGTCGACTTGCCTGACGAACCAGCTCCGAGCAATAGCAATTTAATTTGGGTCTTTATGAGCTTGGAATCAGCTACTATATCCTTTTCAATTCTCCTGTGAGCGTTCAACACCTCCAGGTCCTCCTCACCCGCGGGTTTCAGACATGAGCAAGGCATGCCTGCCGAATCAGCTCTCGTCCACCGTCCAGTGGCCAAGCAGGGTCGCTAGCGTTTGCCGACGTACCCGTCGCTCCGGTTCGTGGTGTCGAATTTTTATTGATGTTTTCTGATCGAGAACTAGAGAGCAAGGGCGCGGGATTGTTTTACAAGCTGCACCGCCGCAGCGATACAGAGAATTGTTTACCAATTACACAAAGCGGTGATAGACGGAGGGGCTTGTCTGCATAATCTGTGCACTCCAGTCCCAATTATTTCACCTAGAAAACTAGAGACATCAATCATTGAAGTACAATCATGTCCACTGTCGGACTCTAGCTCTGTGACTAGCTGTCCCTATGTCTAACGACTTACGTCCTCTTCTGAAGTAGATGCTCAACTGAGAGAAGCTGACTTTCAACTATCTTCACAATCACATACATGCATGCACCTGCAAGAACTGGGTAGGCAAATCATGCGAGCGATCAAGCCTTTTTCGGTTTTCACAGACCGCACAGTCAGTGCAGGCTGGTGTAGATTACTCCAGCAAAACGCTGAGTTGAGCATCCCATATCCTCCCTATGTGAATGTGTGATGATGACACCTGGCAAGTCACGGTAGTGTGATCTACATGACTGTATCTTATCTACCCCGGTAGATCTACCCGCGTACCAGATCAATGAAATCCAATCCAGTGAGTCAAGTTTAGTTGGCGCCCGGCACACACTGTGACACACGTTCACATCCCGGTGCTCGCAGTTCTACACAACGTCCGGCGCGGCGTGGCTCTCTTGATCGGATTTCACTGTCCAGTGACTGGTATTCTACGGCGTCGGGACTCGGGACTCGGGTGAAGCATTGAACTCTCTAACAAGACAATCATCCTGACAAGTGTCCGTCATACATCGCTAGATCTCGCACAAACACGCTAGGTCGAATCGTCAACGAAGACGTCCGAGGCGATCCCCGGCCCCGCTCTCCTGTTTGTTGCCAAGATTTGGCAACAGCAATTTAAACAGAGTGTTGCCTGCAGTGTTGGTTTGTCTGTTGCAGAGGTCCGTACCACTACCGGATAGTGTTAGGTGACAAACGGCTAGGTGACACTGTCGCTTGTACCAGGGAGTAGTATTTTACTACTCCCTGCTTGTACCCAGTCTTTGTAGAGCACCCCAGATAAGAACAGTTACTGTGGACAGTGTGGTAGTGTGGAATCTGTGTGTGACTGTGAGTGTGAGCACTTCACCAGACTGTTCATGTTCAGTACAGCCTTCACACTCGCCAGCGGCCTCGTGTCAGTAGTAGTGCCACTAGTGGTGTCAAACCTCGTCAGATAGCTCCACACAGCTACATGCACTGGTGAATCATGCTCATCGCCTACTGAAGTAAAAAAAAGAGTAAATTATCGTGTCCGTTCCCGAACTCACGACGCCGCTAACACCCGATAAACCCTACTGAAGTGAACAACAACAAAAATTCACCGTTCGCTTGAGACTCAGTGTTAGACTGAGTTTTCAGCATCCGTAGGAAGTTAGGAACGCCACCGCCCTGCAAAGATCACGAGCGGCTTGGTAGATCTCCGCCGCTTTGAAGGATGAGGAGGACCCTTCCCACCTGAGAGGCTGAAGCAGACAGCCACACGCATCTCTCCCAGTCACGTGATCGTCACTCTGTCATCACAGAGACACAGACAGTGAGTGCGAACTACACAGTTATCATGGTTATCATGCTACACCCACATTTCGGGTCTGGGGGTATTTACTATTCTCGTTCATCTCCTTCTTATGCCTCCCCGAGTTATGAACACAGTCAGTGCCAGTCCTTATTGTTTGCCCCCAACGTGCGCACCAGTGAGGAATGGCTGCAAGAAAGCCTTCTCTCACAATTCTTCTTTCCGATGAACCGTGCAAGACCGGCGGCGAAAGCGCTGCTCGACTGTCAACCGGCGAGGCAACAAACTCCGCCACCGCAACTCCGTCTCCGAATGGCTACTGACAAGTGACATGGCTACTGACGAGTACATGTACTGACTTTTCGTTTCGGCAAGGCCAGAGCTTTGTAGTGTAGGCGCCGGCGAGCATTTCCCGAAGATTCCCACAACAAGGCTGAGTGTCGATAGCGCATCGTACTCCCAGCAAGAGTACATATGTACTCTTGCTCCCAGTAAGGGGCCGTCCGGGGTTACCAATAGGCAATAGTTTTCGCAAAACGAAAAGTTTTAGTATTTTTCAGCACCCACTCACCCACCTACCTTTTCTGCAGGTAAAACGAATTAAAATAAAATAATATTGATGTTAATTTTCGACACCCACATGTAACTGGGCATTCTCCATCTGCATTCAATAATTATTTTCAAAACGAAACTCCTTCAAACCCACCCACCCCCAAACGAAAACTTTTCGTTTTGAAAATACTATTGGTAACCTTGGACGGCCCCTAATACAGTACTAGTATGATTACCCATATAAAAACCGCTCTGTGAGCGGTTCTGAAAAACCTCTACTGGTGCAGCCCCGTCGTAAAAGTAAGAAATTAGGACTGGTGCATTGTCCTCCCAAATGTGAACTGATCCACCTAAATCGCGATTGACGGGACCCGAACGCACCAGTAGCACGAGGTTCCTACCTGTGGATGCAGCTGGGGACGCTGGTCCATAGCCAAAGCCAAAGGTGGGCTTCGGGGTTCTGTGTAAGTGTTGTATGGTAACTTGATCGGCGCCGGTCCATTGCTGTAATCCTGTGCCCTCCCGACCTCGTGCTACTGGTGCGTTCGGGTCCCGTCAATCGCGATTTAGGTGGATCAGTTCACATTTGGGAGGACAATGCACCAGTCCTAATTCTTACTTTTACGACGGGGCTGCACCAGTAGAGGTTTTTCAGAACCGCTCACAGAGCGGTTTTTATATGGGTAATTTCAGTTCTTTTTCTGTTCCCTCCCCCACCCCGGCCCAGCTCCGAAGATAAACATGGTGAGCATGCGCGCGATGCACTGTATGTAGCCATGCGATTGCAGTAGCACACGGATACATTCCAGCCCTTTCCACCTCGCTACCCCGCACACAGACACATTGTGACAAACAAGCACATGCACATGCACATGGCACACACATACACACACAGTGACACATACACACACAGGACACACACACACACACACACACACACACACGGCCCAAACAGGAAAATTCTTGATGAACATTGTATAATGCCATGCAAAGCAGTGGCCACCATACTTCAGGAAGTCAGTTGTGAAACAAAATAAAGGTAAGCTGGCAGCCAAAGCACAACATTGCAAACCGTGATGATATTTGCGTAAGGATTGCAGTTTGCAGACCACACCATGGAAGTAGTGAGTGCAGAATGATTGTAATGTCATACAAAGACAAGCAAAGAAGTGGCCACCATACACCAGAAACTTGCAGAAAGTCACATATCCAACAGATAGAGAAGTGAACAGCATCTGGTACAGCCCACACAAAACCAAGCTGACCTGATACTCGTCCGAAGATCGTAAGTGGCAGATCCTTTTCAACGATAGCATGCAGGTGTACGTTCACGCATGGCCAAAATCTGACCGTGGTCACCGGCATACGTTGTCATCACATGCACAGTAGCAGCACAATAAAAGCAATGGAAAAAATGAAGGGGTTGAAGGGGTTGCTGACACTTCAAATTCAGACTTCAATGTGGTCGTCACGGGATGATATACCTGCAAGATACAAGTGATGCAGAAAGAAAGCATAAGGTCGTGAGGTAGGCTATGAGACACCACAAATGGGTCACCTACATGTATGTTCAGGGCTGGTGTACACACACAACACACACACACACACACACACACACACACACACACACACACAGAATTATCATAATCGAGAATTTCCTAAACTGAAAAGAGCAATGAAATCCACTTGCATGCACAGGAGCAATTTTGCAGTATGATGCGCAGCTCGGGAATACACCTGTTGGCAATGGATTACATTCCCATTGGAATTCCTATTCACGTGGGAGTCACAGAAGCAATTTGGCAGTGTGCTGCGCAATGCGGCATGACCTGCAATTCTGCGTGCGATGCAAACTCGCACAAAATACCATTCACAGAATCACGACAAGACGTAAGCGATGCAACAGCGCCTTGCTGACGTGCCTCAACTTGTCAAGTCAAAGCTCAACGAGAATGCGTTTGTCGGCTACAACTGGTACAAATGTACAAGCAATTTCCGAAAATGCTCCTGGGAATCCTGCTTTAATGTTCCTCCTCCACTCTCCCCCCCCCCCCTCCACACCCTCAGGGAACTTGGCAAGGAAGGGTGGTCTTCCCGGTTCCCAACATCTATTTGCAGTTTCTCGTCTCCACTATGTCTTTTCAATGGGGATTTGTACGTACCATAAAAGCAAGCCTAAAAATGAACAGCACATTTGCCGTTCCTCCACTGGGGAGGATGCGTTCCACAGCTATCCTGACAAGATATTCCGAGAAGCGGTGCTGAGTGCAATCAAGAGTACATGACCTCCGGGGTTATGTACTCTTGGTGCAATGCATTGTGAAACATCTGGCTTAAAAGTTGACAACAACGGCGCACGCACATAAGCAACGGCCACCTTACCTGTACTGTAGCAGTACTTCCGAGTTCCCGTATGGGAGTTCCCTCACTGTGTGTGCAATAGCAGCCTCATCGAACCAGTTCAATGCGACGCGGACAGTCCGACACTGAGGAGGACATTGAAGAAGTCAGAGACAGGAAGAATGGTTGATTTACAACTCAACTAGCAAGGCTGCACACCCACGAAGTTCCACTCACCATTGTGCCGTCCTTCTTGGAATGCAGAAATAACGCTTCTTCTCGAGAACGCAGCCTGTGACAGAGAAAAAGGAAGGAGCATCGCCATCAGCATTGGTCCTCTGCTATCATCGATTGCCGATTTGCACAGTTCAATCTAACAAGACTGAGGACGTTCAAGAACTCCCCATCCATACCATCATTGGAGTACTTGTAAGAGGAAAGGTCAGATTGCCCAGTTCCACCCAGCATTCCTGGATGCCAGGATAGATGTGCTGCCCTCCGCCCCTCCCTTCTACTGCCTGGAAAGGGCAACATATGTGACAGCGTTCACCAGTACAGTCGGAAGAGAACATGGGAGAAGGCAAAAAAGGGCAACACACATGAATCCCCTATAAACAAGCAGTGGCAATTCTAGCACCAGCAATGTTTATTGTTGGACTTACATGTACATCCCAGCCATTGCCGCCGGATTCAGCGGCTTCTTCTTCTTCGTCTCCCATCTTGGAAGCACTCCTTCCCGTAAGTTCAGTCCTGGGAGTACAGTCGGAGGAGGACGTCGGAAAAGGCAAAAAAGGGCAACACACATGATTCCCTTATAAGCAAGCAGTGGCAACTCTAGCACCAGCAATGTTGGACTTACATCCCAGCCATTGCTGCCGGATTCCCACGCTTCTTCTTCGTCGTCTTCCAGTTCCAGGTTTCCATCTTGCAAATACTCCTTCCCGTAAGTAAGTGCAGTCCTGGCCTGGGTGGATGCGCAGTACATTCAGGGGTCGCACTTGTGTACTTAGACATCGCAGCCATTTTTGATTCATCACGCACGCAGCACGTGCGCGTCAGGGTCGTGCAGCCAATCAGAGCTACGGAAAATTCAAAATATCGCAATATTTGGGCGATTTGTAAAGGGTTCCTTGGCAGCCATTTATCTAGCTACGGCGTCGAAAATCGCAGGGCTGCTTTGACGGCCAAGTACGCGGACATCTATCGAAAGAAATTTTGAAATCGGTCAAGTAGAAGGGAAATCCGTGTGTAGGGCTTTTCTGAGCGTTGTCGCCCTGCTTTCCAGTATTCTGACAGTAAATCTATGTCGTTGAGGAAAAAATTGATTCGGTAGATTTACGGAGGAGATTCTAATAAAGAAAATGAGCCCTCGATCATCGAAATCGGAGAAGAGATGGCTGCCAAGGAACATTTTGAAGACTGCACTGACGGCCCGGCGCGAGCCGCTCGCGCGATCGCGCAGTGTCGGAAAGTACATGTACTTGGACTGCCTTCGATCAGAATGATCTGCCTGCTGCAACGCTTTGCCCTGTGTCTTTGTTTTGGAACAATGTTCATGTACATTCATTGCTTTCTTTCTCCAACTCGGCGATGCCGCGTTGCTGGACCATGAAGACTCCAAGACCAACTCCAAGCCGACACCGTGCGATTGTGATGTTTGTGTCACAGGTATCATACAAGTGCAGTCCGTGCAGTACGAAAAGTACCGATACGAGTGACATAAAACAAGGAAACCATACCGTCAGTAAGTCCCGATAGGATCGCTTTCCGTAGCAGGTGTACTCGTTGCTGGAATACTCCTTGCGGATCGAAGCAACTTTGCAAACAGAACGTCTTCCTCCTGAGAAATACTCCACTCGCATGATTCCCACGGTCGTTGTTCTGAGTATTGACACGCGAATTCAAAGCGGGAATACTTGCGCGCAAGCCTTAGACTTCCACTTACCAGTAAGTTTGCTGTTGTGACTTACAACTAAATGGAAGTCTATTTTGAAAGGAGAACGGGGAAAGAGAACATCGCCGTGTCAAAACAAGAACGGTATCAGTGAAGAAGAAACTCTGTTCACAGAAATCTGCAGGTCTTGATCATACGTAGCTAGCTTTGTACAGCGCTTGTACAGTTTTGTATGCAAACAATGCATTGAGAACCACACACGTGATCCAAAAGAGGCACGCGTCGCGCATGCAGTCAAAAGCAAGATGGCCGCGATGTCGAGAGCTGATCATGATACCAAGTGCGACCCCTAACATTGACGATGGCGGAGATGGAGCAGGTCAGGGAGCCCTACAGGGTCCCGAGAGCAGATTGCGGCCAAATTCGGGACGATGCCGGACGCCAGTCAGTATGAAGTAGCGAATTGCGGATCGCCACGTAGATTGGGGTCGCGGGGTCATAATCCACGGGCACTACTCGTACGTTGCTCCAAAAAAGGGCACTGCACTGTTCCACAGTTGCTGTTAGCGGTCCCCAAAGGCCCTTGGTAGGCCGGTTATTGGGTCACGTGTCAACAAAGTGTCAACAAAGTGTCAACAACGTGTCGACCACGTGTCTTTAGCGGTACACTAATTTTGGTGTCCCCAAACTGAAAACATCGAGCACCAGTATGGAAAGGCTTTAGACAGAAAGCCTTTCCAATACCGCCCGCCGTGCGCCTAGCGCCCCGGCGTGTCCCTGCGCGCGCTGCACAGACACAGTGCATGTCTAGCCCGGCCTAGCCCTCAGGCCCAGCTGCCCGGTGGTACGTCCTAATCAGGGAGTCGTAAAATACCGGTATTTTACGACTCCCTCGTTCTACAGCCGGCCCTGACGAGTTGACGGTTTTCATTTCACTTTTCAATGCCGGAAGCTCGAAGATGATGTCATTTTGCCGTTGAGTTCCTTGCAATTATTTCGAAACGAGCATACACCTTCACATCAAAACCGTTGTCTCAGCAAGGAGAGTTGTGAAAGTTACAGTGAGGAAGAGCCAACGCCAGTCAGGAGGACCTTTGACTTTGTCTTTACTGAAGGAAGGCTCCTCTGTTCACTTGAAGCAGTGGTCTCACAACCCGTGTGCTTTGGGAGAGGAAACGTGGAAGAACTCCTTGTCGACACCTTGGTAGCTACTTTCACACTACACAGCTGAAAGTACGGACTTCAGTTGCCGAGTGACAAGGATTTTCAATCCAAACACACAAAGATGTCAGTGTATCGCGTGCTGGTAAGTCTACGTCTCAACAAAGTGTTCGCCATGAAAAGGGCACCATTGATTCCCTCTACCTCTTCTCCTTTATCTCCCGCTTTTTTCAGCGTCAGGATGGGGGCAGTCCTCAATGTTTCGGGAAGAGTTGGGTTTGACAGCTTGCCGGACCAAGTGGTCACAAAGCCACCAGCAAAGGTTTCGAATTCAACATTCTCTGTGTTGGTAAGCTGCTCCGCTGCTTCGTGGTTGTCTTTGTGGTCCGAACTTACTTTCTCCTTCTGTAGCAGGGTGTGTCTTTGGCTGGATATACAACTAACTGACTTCGATTGATTACCGTATACAGTTCGGATGATATGAACTCACAGGCGCCGAAGAACGACATAATGTACATCCGTATTTAGTACTCATGTTTCGTTTGCATATCAAGGAATGATAGCCTCGGACTCTGGAGGACGGTGATGAAGCACAGGGATCGTGCGTGGCTCATTTAATTCTGTCCGAGAGAGACGGTCAAAGCCCATCCTCTCTCTTCTCTCTCTCTCTCTCTCTCTCTCTCTCTCTCTCTCTCTCTCTCTCTCTCTCTCTCTCTCTCTCTCTCTCTCTCTCTCTCTCTCTCTCTCTCTCTCTCTCTCTCTCTCTTCTCTCTCTCTCTCTCTCTCTCTCTCTCTCTCTCTCTCTCTCTCTCTCTCTCTCTCTCTCTCTCTCTCTCTCTCTCTCTCTCTCTCTCTCTCTCTCTCTCTCTCTCTCTCTCTCTCTCTCTCCCCTCTTGATCGACCTTCTCACCTAGTGGTTTCGTCCATTTTACACTTCGAATTTTTTTGAATATTTCAATTGGCATCCACGAAGCTTGAACACGGTGTTGTCGATATGACGTGCATTCTGTCACTCTGGCCGGCAAGTGAACATGGCGAATGCGTTGAGAACTTCTTGAAAGCAAAGCAAGGTGGAGTCTTGTGCACTGTCCTACG